AAAAGATTAGGGATTCTCATAAAATGCTCAGTACAACAGGACATGTTCCGCAGTTTCCACCATGCCAGATTGACAAGGTCAAAACGTTGGTCATAAGGGTGTGTCAGTATTTTTTCTCTAAAAAGAAATTGAAATGAGCCGGGGCAAGAGTTCTCTGATATCTAGTGAAATCCAAATTATAAAGATAATCTGCTGGGATCAAGATCTTGCTGTTTTTGCTCAGACACTGAGTAACGTGGAACCAACTTTCTATCAAGTTGGAGGGCTATATCCTGATCTTTTTCCCTTTAACTTTCAGAAATCCCAGATGTAACAGGGCTGAAGAGGGACAATAATTTTTCCTCCACCATTCTGGCCCAGACTGAGGAATGGCTATTTGTTAAAATCAGAGGTGCTAATCCAGAAGGATTAAGGTTTAACTTCAGCCACAAACTGATTATTTGAAGCCAAGCACTTGCTTCAAGTGGGACCCTTTCAGCTTCTGTTTTGAGTAGGACATTAGGGATACAGCATGGTATATCAAAAACAGTTCACAGGAATTTATACTGTATTAGTACATATGCTAGGTAGGAGGAGCTTCCATTTGGGAAGAAGAATCTGAAGATGGCAGTAATATTTTTTTTCTGCATTTTCAGTGACATGAGTACCATGGGCTTTCTACAGACCAGTCATCTGAAAAGCTATGCCTTGAATATTTATAGGTCTTGACCTATCTGATACATGCCAATCTATCTGCCACTTGTTCTTGACAAGCCTTTTGGTGAAAACCAGAATACTGATCATTTGGTAGTTTATGATGTGGTGCTCTGTAGACCAGTATACTGTGAAAGCACAAAGAGCATTTCTAAGCTGTGCTCTAGAGTTGAACAAAGTGTAGTCTTTTTACAAGTTTTTAAGAGAGTGAAAAATCCAATGTTATGGCTTGAGGCATAGAGTTAATGTAAAAGATAAATAATAAGGAGGCTATAATGTATATTATTTCACACCCTTCCTGACAGAAATTGAGATAAATAGTCATGAGTTCAGGTCTCCAGGTTCAGACAAAGCATAGTTAAGGATCTTAAAGGACTTGCAGATATAATTTTAGAGTTTTTGTCTGTAGTCTTTGTGAGTTCTTGGAGAACAGGAGAGGCCTGAGAAGACTGGAAGCAGACAGATGTTACCTTCATCATTAAAAAAAAGTGAGGGAGAATATTTGGTCAATTTTTGAACAATGAGCTTGGCACTTAGTAAAGAATGCAGCAAATATTAAGAGCAAACATATTTTTTCAAAAACATATCAATAAGTCTATTCTTATTTTCTTTCTTTCCTTCCTTTTCTTTTCTTTTTTGGATAGAATTACGTCATAAATTAGGGGAATGCTGTGAATGTAGTATATCTTGATTTTATCTTTTGACAAAATCCCTCATGATATTCTTGTGGCCAAGCTGGGAAAATGTGGCTAGATTATGCCACTGTTAGGTGCAAGCAATGCTGATCAAATTTGCAAATTATACCAAACTGGGAAAGATAGCTTGTACATCAGAGGATAGATTTAGAAGTAAGATGGCAGATTAGAGAACGAATCAAAACAAACAAAATTAATTTCAAGTGAGTAAATGTAAAATTCTATATTTTGGTATACAATATAAGATGACTTGATGTACGTGAGAAAATAACAACATGGCCTTAGCAGAACACAAGCTAAATATGGTTCAATAATGTGATATGGTTGAAAAACAAAGTGAATGCAATTCTAGGGTGCCTGAGCAAAAGTACAATGAATGGCTGAAGAGAAGTAATAGTACCATTCTCTTTTGATTTCATCAGTCCTTAGCTGGACTACTGTATCCAGTTCTGGTCATTCCAATTCAAAGAAGATAGGGATGACCTGGAATATGCCTGTAAGAGTGCAAACAAAATGGTAACAGGTCTGGAAACAAAGCCAAGGTGTTTGATGTCTTTCACTTGAATAATATAAAGAATGGGTGATGCTGTGATAGCCATCGTCAAATATGTGGAGGACTGTCTTGTGGAAGATGGATTGAACAAGCTATGATTCTATAAAGAGCCATATGGTTACAATTACAGTGGAATTTCTGGTGATCAAAGATTATCATCAAAACACTTTTTCATTATAAAAACGCATCAATACTGATCAATACAGAAAATGTTAATGATGTATAAGACAAATTCATGAGAACATGGCTGTTGATAGCAATACGCTAGCTCTAGAATTAAGAACACGATGCCTCTCAGTTCCAGTTTCTGGGGAACAACAGCTCAAGCGACTTACTGCCCTCATGTTCTCTTTCGGAACATCTCAGAGACATTTGGTTGGTTACTGTGGGAAAGAGGATGTTGGATTTTATTTTTTATATATATATAATTTGTTTATTTAAACTATTTTGACCCCAGCTTTCTCCTTAAAAGGACCCAATGATCAAGGATCTTCTTATGTTCTCATTTAGAGAATGTGTTGAGAAGAATCCTTTCTATAGGGAAAGTAGTATGTTTTGTGCGAGAGAGATTTGCACTGGTCATTAAATAATCTACCAGCTATAAATACACTAGATACAGAGTGGGAGTTTACTAGATATGATTAAATGTTAGTCTTAATTATATATCAGCTGTCTGTTCTGTATTCAGTTTAATTGCTGACTATCAATGTGTAGGTGTCCTTTTTAAAGTTTGCATTCCCAAAAGGTATATATGTGTCTCACCATAAAAAATGTACAATCTCTTTCTTTCGTTGTCATTCTGGAGAAAACTCAGTTCTATCTTGCTTCCCCCTTTACCCCCACCGTTTCTCCTTTACCACAACCAGTAAGCCAATATGTAAAAAGACAGACCTGTTTTACCCCTAGAATGAGAGAACAGAGTACCTTTTCAAAATACTATACTAAAACTGAAGTACAGTGTTGCCTTTCTGTCCAACCAGGATCTTCAGGGTCAGCATTGAATAGGAGAGGTGGGTGAGTCATTGTCCTAAGTGCCTTGGCATTTGGAGACTTTTGCTGTGCAGGATGCTTAACAGCAACAACGAAAATCCTAGTCAAGTGATAGCAGTAATTTGGTTGGACAAGTTATGTCTCCTTTGTTGACCCATACTGAGTCAGCACATGTGAAAGCACACCAGAAGCTGAATTGTAAAGGCATAGGTTGGACGTTTTCAAAGTAATTGTAAAAAACAGCATTATTTTGAGATTCTTTTCCAGCCTGAACCCAGGTGTCATTGTAAAGCTTAGCAGTACACAGAAGTGGACATCTAATATTGCATGCCAATCAATAGAGCATCCCATAAGCCAGCACTTTATTTTATTTTATTTTATTTTAAGCCACCTTTCTCCTCATAGGGAACTTCAGGCAGTAAAATCATGCAATAATTGCAATTTTAAAATACTATAAAGAATGGATAAAAATAATTAAATGTAAAAACATTTTTAAAAAATACATGAAAACACTTTAAAAATATTATAGAAACATTGTTAAAAAAATAGATGGAGCAGTCCTTAAACCCTCACTTATCACTTAAAAGTCTGCCTGAAAAGGAAGATCTGACAACACAAAGACAAGAGGGAGGGAGGCCAGCCTGGGTACTTGGAGCAGTGCGTTCCAAAACCAGGGAGCAGCCACTGAGAAGACCCTCTCTCACTTTTCCACCAGTTGTTCCCCAAAGGGTGGTAGAATGGAGAGAAGAGCTTCCTCAGAAGATCTTAAAAGTCAAGAAGGCTTATGAGGGGGTGATAGAATTCTACACCTGCTTTTTTTAAAAGAAGTTAATCCACCCAGCATTGAGGTGAATGGGGAAGAGGGCAGATTAGGAATGTAAGGACTACAGAAGTGACATTTAATACACACAGAGAAAGAAACTACAGAGTATACATGGGGGAGAGAGAGATTGAGAGGAGGATGCATGAAGAAAGGGATAGAGAAAAAGAAACTCCAGGGAGAGAGGGAAAGGACAAGTGGTTAGCTGAGACCACGATGGTTCTTCACAGAGATAAGATAAGATATTTATTATTTGTGGCTGGTCTTTTGACCATAATAACATTTTATCTTATCTCAGAGATAAAAAAAGGAAATGAAATGTTTGTTCCCTTAATTTACAAAATCTTATCTCAGAGATAAAAAAAGGAAATGTTTGTTCCCTTAATTTACAAGTCCTAGACACTGAAGTCTGAACTCAAAGTCACTCAAAGTCACCATACATACCTGGAATAAGATCAAGGGGCCATTCACACTTACATATGATAGATCACCTGAGTGAATGAGCCACTATCAATCAATCACTGCTAGCAGAAGTTTCAACACTGTGCTTGATGATAACTCAGCTTTCCATCATTCCACAGAGGATTTCTTGCAGGTATTCCGATAGCTTTGCACCCTAAACTAGAGAAGTTGTTGAAAAGCACCAGTTACAAGTGCTTTGTGTCTCAGTGACAAGTGATCAATGGATGAAAAAGGAGTCAGGTTCTGGGATTACCCCTTGCATAGTGTCTGTATGTGAATGATAGTAAGCACAAGAGGGGATCTGTAAGCCACCTTGACTGCTGCCCTCAGTATTGTCAACATTAAGGACTTGACTTTGTTATGTAAAGCAATGGAGGCACAATATTGCAAGACAATGTCAGACCATATCCTGGTGTTTTGAAGCAATATCCCGTACTCATGCACTAGAGCTTTTTTTAAAGGACTGAATAACAGTTATGGCTGAAAGAAATCAGGCAGGAAAACAGTTCTGGGTCACACAGCTGGAAAACAATCAAGCAGGTGAATGTCTTCTGTCCAGGTTGCAGATAAGCTTGCTCTTTTCTCATTCATGTTTGGTGTATACCTGAGCTTTAAAATGCTCCATTTCCCCCCTCTTGTTTTTAAGTTAGCCTTTTATTGAATGGCATCCATTTCAGCACACTGTGTCCCAATGCTCTTGTATTTAACGGATGAAATGCATCAGGCATCAGATGCTTTTGATGTTTCCAGCTTGCTTATCTCTTTTCCATTTCATTTCACTTAACAGAAGATAAGAGCTGGAGTATCATCCAGCACAATAACACCGAGCTGACTCGAGTCCATGGGGCTGATCCTGGAAAGCCATATACCATGAGCTTCAACTACAACAGCACTACGGAGCAGCTGGAGGCAATGATAAATAGTGCAGAATACTGTGAACAGGAGGCAGCTTACCATTGCAAAAAGTCACGCCTGCTCAACACCCCAAGTAAGTGGCATAAAGTGAAATCTTTCCTCCTTAACTGTTATTGATTGCACAGATGACACAGTCCACACTGCAACCCCAGCAAAAGAGAGAGAGAGGTCAGGAACCTCCTTTCTTTCTGTCCATCCCTCTCTCTGACACACATACGTATAGGCAGTTGTCACAGCAAATGTTCTCCTTTGATCAATTTTATTCCTTGTGTGCCTCTGCTTAACCAGCCCATCTGCTTTTGTAGCTGAACTACGAATCCAGTTACTGATCCAGCTAGTTCTCTGTACTTGGTAGTGCAGGTGGTACTTAACAATGGGATGAATAACATAGTCTCAGACAAAGCTGTTCAGAAAGGCTTGGTTAAGGCAACGAACTGAAACTGTTAATCAGCTGTAGCAGCAATTAAAGCTAAGTGGAGATCAATGCCTTCAGCGAAGCCTGTTGCGAACTGTTCTCCCAACCTGGGCAATACTTATCAATAAAAAAGCTCACATCTCTCTTAGGTCACTTCTAGCTTCCATCCTGGCTTCTGCCTGCAATGATGTAGGATATGAATCTTGCAGCTTCTCACTTTCTAAGAGGAACTGATGGTGGCAGTAGTTGTGAGGCTTCTTTTCCCCTCATAGCAAAATTCCTCTGTGGGAGATTTTTTTTCCTTGAGAAATCTCATGAAAAATCTCAGGATTTCTCATATGTTTTGTCATCATTTTTTCTGTGTGGAAGAAATGCCAAGTTGTGCAGGATTATTACAATGTTTGCACAGAATATATTTCTTGCACAGGATTCACCTGAGGGGGGGGGAACCCTAAGATGTGCAGGATTGTTACAGCAAAAGTCAAAAGGGTGTGGTGAGATTGGGATCTTGTTTTTGTGGGGAGCCTGGCACAAGGTGAAATGGTAGAGAATCTTGCCATATCAGCTGGGAATGTGGCCACCACATCATTATTTAGTCTCAATTAGCCAGTGTGACTTTAGTGATTAACCACAGCTTTGCACCCTTGTTTTCATGATTTCTATTATTTCTTTATTACTTGGATTTACATACCACTCCCACTAGTGCCAAGGCACTGCTCTGGGTGGTTTACAATAAAAAGCAACACAAAACCAAAAATAAAAGTAAAACTGCTAAAAGCACTTTGAAAAAAGTAATGTGCTAAAAACAATTTGACAACTGACCAATAAAACAGATGGCACCAAACAATGATGCAGAAAATGGTGGACAAAAGTAGTCAGCTACAGTCAGTGTGGAAAGTCTCCCTGAAAAGCCTTGTCTTCAGTTGTCTCCTCAATGTCCACAGGGAAAGGGGCCAGGTGAAGGTCCTCCACAAGGCTGTAGCCATTGAGATAAAGGCCTTGCCTCTGGTGGAAGACTTTCAGGCCTCCCTCAAAGTGGCAACGTGGAGGGGCCTCACCTTTGTTTATCTTGTTGGTCAGGCAGATGACATTGGGGAAAGACTCTTGGACAAGTAACGTAGGCCCAAACTGTGGGGGGGCTTTATGCATGAGTGTCAAAACTTTGAACCTGATCTGGGTCACAACAGGTAGCTAGTAGAGGCAAGCCAGAACCAGAGTGATACATTCAAACTTGCTCACACCAACCGCCTGTCTGGCTGCTACATTCTGGACCCACTGTAGTCTCCGGATCAGTCTCAAGAGAAGCCCCACATAGAAAGCATTGCAACAGTCTATCTAGGAGATGACCAATGCCTACACCAAGGTCCCAAGCGAGCTCTCATCTAGGTAGGGACAGAGTTGGGTGTTTAGCCTAAACTGGTGAAACACTGATCTAGACATGGACATAATTATCATGAAATAGTGAAAATGAGTACTGAAAGTGAGCCAGTGCTGGACTGACTTTCAAATAATATTCATCAGTTTCACCATTTCCTGCCTTGCAGATGGATATGTTGTCACTCAGTTGTAAATAAAGCTGTCTGGTACCAGGGTGCTGGCTAAAGTCTCTGGTAATTCCTTTGCTTCTCCTGTTTCCAAGTTGGGAGACAAATTTCAGTATAAACTTCCATAACAAGCAATATCATCTGCCCAAGTGCTGACTAATAATACGAGTTCAGTAGGGGATCCCAGAGCCTGACAGCAGCTGAGAAAGCCCTCTCTCATGTCCACATGAAGCATCACTCAGAAGGAGGTAAAACCAAAACATCCTCCAAAGACCTCAAAATCTGGCAGTCTCATATGGATGAATGATAGCCTTGAAACAGGCTGGGCTGAAAGTATTTCAGGCTTTTAAATTGCAGTCAACACTTTGCTCAGAAACAAGCTAGTTCAGTGGTTGCCAAGCTTCTTCAAATCATGACTCCCTTTTATAATAGCCAAGTAATCTGAGCCCCCGCTGCTGTATTTGCATAAATAGGCTGTTATTGTTCCCCAACATGGTGGTATCATCAATGCTGATGCTCCTTGCCCTGCCCTCTTACTCCTTCTACCACCTGCTCCACTGCCACCACTTCAAAACTGGGGAAGGAATAAGCTGGGGGAGGTTAGAGGTAGGAAGAATAGGCCTTCAGATGGGCCAAGAGATAGAAGGATATTGCAGTACCCGGGGAGGGGGCAAAATCTTCACTCAGATAGATTCCCCTAAGAAAACCAGCATAAAGGTTTACTTGCACCTATTGCAGAAGAGATGGGCCATTTTTTTGTGTGTGTCCTCCTCTTCAAGGTTTGTCTTTTTTCTTTTTCCTTTTCCTCCCCTTCTTTGGGCTCCCCAGAAGTTATATGTCTTAGTTAAAATCCCTGTGGAAGTGACAGCAATTATATCTTTATGCTGGCATTTCTCTTTTTTTGTAAAATATTGTCCCAGTCATCCCTTGTCAAAATGTAGAGGCTTCTTTCTCCCAAAAAAAGAGGATCTGTTTCTCATTTATATCTTGTTCTAAAAGGTAAAGGAAGACATTATTTGAGAAGGGCCACAACACATATAAGGTGACCTGCGACCCCCTTGGAGATCCTATCTCAGAGGTTGGGAAATACTGGGCTCATCAGTAGTACAAGTGAATCACAAGACAATCACAAGGAAGCATATGCTCTACTAATCTACTGACAGGGGCTACTAGTTCTTGATGTCACAGTAGCTGATACTGATTTTGAGCAGAATGTTGATACTTCATAGATTCACCGAGTATTATTTGAAAATATTGACATTTCTTTGACATTTCCATTTGTTTCATATAGACACAGAGAGAGAGAGAGGTAAGCAGGCAGGCAGGCAGATAGACAGGCAGATAGTTGGATGGACAGGGGGCAGGCGGACAGACAGATAGGCCCTCCCTTTTTGGAAAAAAAGGCACTCAAGATAGCTGTCAATAATAAAATCAAAATATAACATAAATATGTAATTCCTAATGGAGATCTCATAAACCAAAGCCATCTTATTATATGTTATTGGGGCTATCTTGATGGTAAGTGAAATTAACTTTATTCATTGATCATAATGATCAAATAATAACACTTTACAGTTTCTAGGCCACACGCTACCTTTGGGACAGGGTGAGGCTTCATTTTCCTCTGTACCTGAGGCTGGACTCAAACTGAGCCTGAATTATGTTGAATTAAATGGTTTGACAATGGTGGATTAAGTGACCTGAACAAAGCAAGGGATGTGGCTGAGCAGAATACTGATTCTGTGAGTCCCCCACATCTAAAACCAAACAGCTCCTCCCAGGAACACACTAACATCAAGGAAGATGAAATTACATGCAAAGGAGAATGATGGCCTACTCAAACATGAACACTGAGAGGAGCTTACTAAGTGCACCCCCCTCTGGTATCTCTTTATTCATGGAAATGCAGCTGTCTGAAGACAGCAGCTTTCCTCTCTCCAGACAGTCACATTTTTCATGAGAAAAGCAATGATGGAAGGACAGAGCTACTGTGTTCCCCTCAATGAATGTACTACACATGCTTTAAAGCAGAACTAAACATGGTTTGAAAAAAAGGGAAAAAATCCATGCAAATATTTTGTCCCAATTTCTTTGATGTGGGGCTTGTCACATTTTGATGTGCCTCTGATTTTTCCAGCCAAATATGGAAGCATTTTTTTAATGTAAGGTGTTGTGCTGGGGGGTACTTAGCGACTGACAGTTCTTTGTCTAGCAAGTGTGGGACATTAACATTGCCAGAGGAAATTTGACTCGCCCTGAGTTTTGGCACACATACCCCCAGATCTATAATATGGAGTCTGATGAAGACCCATGCAGAGTTCAAAGCTAGACTCTCTGTGCCATATCTTAGTGGTCTAATAAAGTTACCGCTCACCCTTTTCTTCAGAGTATGGCTTGAATGCTGATGCCTGAACATTCTGAGGGAGGCCAAACAGATGTGTCCAAAAAAGAGAAGATGTCAGGCACTTAAACTAAAAAAAAGGAAGATGTTTTAGCAGCTGTCATTTAAAGTATCAGTAGCCTTGTAGCTGTGAGGACTTGACAGTCCTTGTTTTAATTACATGCCCTTTAGCCATGATGATGACTGGTAAAAAAAAACCAATGGGGAAACCAATCTGGGAAATGACTTGGGGCTCCAAGGTGGGGCTGAGAGGAGAAAGGGAAAAATAAGAGAGAACAGCTGGAAGTTACATTCCTACATAAAGTCCCAACGAAGATCAAAGTGTCAGCACTTGACTGCTGAACACATTTTGTCTAATATCTGATTGTGTTTGTTGAATGCATGGAACAGTCACATCCTTTTTTGCTGATGTGAAGGGATATGAAATAGTCTCTCTGGCATTTAATCTCTGATAAGCTCATTCACAAATATATCTGTGTATAAACTGGCAATATGCATTTCAATTTGAAAAGTAAAATTGCATTCTCTGCTTTCTTTATTATCAATAAGAATTTTCATTTATCTCTTGTTAGGGAGGGCACATTTCTTTCTCTGCTTTTATATTGCTTCGCCGCAATCCTTTACGATTTGTTTGATGTTTGAAGCTTCCTTAAAACAGTAGTGTCTCAAACTGGACATTGTATTCCTTTGGTAACTTGATCAATGTCAAGGAA